CGGCCCGTGCCCGTGCCCTGCGTGCTCTCCTTCAGCTCTAACTCGCGAGAATGACTTACCATTTCATCGCGTTTTCTTTAAAAGTTGCCTGCCTTTGGCGATTCTGAAATTTGGGGAAAAACTTTTGTTTCTTCCACTTCCCCAGGTGTTTTATTTGACTCACACACTGCAGAAATCTGCAAGGTTTCCTCCCTGTGGTGGTTTCTTCTTGGGCAGGATATTTTGCGGGGGGTTATTCCTTACTAAAGCCTCCAGTTTGTCTCAAGTTGCCTAAAGCTGCCTGCACAGTTGAGGGTAGGCAGGGGTAGCACCTCTGCGAGGTAGACACCTTGGGATCCTTAGAGACAGATGCCTGTGGAGTCCAGGCATTTCTCAGCACTGGGGAGGAGTGGTGGGAAGTTCAGGTTTTAGGGTCTGTTATAAGAATCTTTAGATTAGATGAAATAAAGAAAAAAAAAATGGACTCACTTTTTCTCTTTAATCTTTCTTAGTCATACCAAAATATATATATATATATATAATTAAATGTATATATATATATATAATTAAATGAGGGAGTGAATCTCCACTGAGAGCTCTCCAGAGAAAGAGAGGTTTTTATTAGTCCACATAATCACTGCTGGAGTTAGTTTTGGTTTATTCTTTCTCCTTTCTAAACTATTCGAACAGTAAGAGTTCATAACTGGGATTAGTCTGGTTCTTTGGTTCTTTGAATCGTGGTGTCCTCTGGGGCACAGCCAAGGACTTTCCAGAGACGAGGCAGGAAACCCATCGTAGTGATAAATGCCTGTGCGAATACCACAGAACTGAATCTTGAACTGCCATTCACATGTTTTGTTTCTCCATGCATTTTATCAATAATAGTGAAAATAGAATTACCTGATGTTAAATAATATACATTATATATTCCTACTCACAGGCTGTTGGTCTGAGAGGTACAAAAATCTCATTGTCTAGATAAAGCAGTTCTTCCGAGTTCACAGTTTCATTGGATCCTTGACGCAATCATAAGTAGTAGGGTTTTTTTCATGAGTAATTTTAGAAATGCTACATTCTCATAAGGTTCTTACTTTTAAATTGTGTCTGTTGACACTGGTGTTAACAGATGAGCAACACTATTTGCTGTGTTGATTCTAGCTGTTGGGGATGCTTCTGTATGCATGGAGAGCAGAGGGAATAAGGAGATACCCAAGATGAAGGGCTTTTAGATCCAGATTCTTGGATTCCACAATATATGCTGTTTTATTCCTAAACATTTTTGTTAGAGCAATGTTATTTTTATGATTCTTACTTTTCTACATGGAATCATTAGCATTAGTTACTTGCAAGTCACTATGCTACTTAATTTATCATTTTAATAGCAAATGATCAGGAACCAATGATATTCTTGCCTAACCAACATCCTCTAGAATGTTTTTTCTTATGACATATTTCCATTGTGATTTTTATTTTTTTCTCCATTTACACTCAGTGTGGACGAAGCAGCAGTGGATGAAGGAGGAATGAGTCGTGCGGCTCCTGTGTGATCCCCTGGTTCTGTGCGCAGCCTTGTGATCTCCAGCCTCTCTAATTCCCTTGTGATCGTCATGTGCTTTTCTGCTCATTTTGATCCATCAGTGCAACCAACATTTCTAACTGTGGTTTTGCTTCTCACTTTCTAACTATTTCTTCACATGTCACACTGATAGGCAAACCTTGGTCTCCAGCAGTCACTAAGAGCACTGTAATATCCTACTTGAAACACCCCCTAAGGCAAAATTCTCATAACAGATCATGAAAGCAGCTTACCTAGACACTTATGACATTGATATCAATGGGAATGCTTTTGTTTTAAGCATTTGGTTGTAAAACAGCAACCACAAAGCTATAGTTCTCTGTAAAACAATTTATACATCTATTACAGCATTACCTTTTTAGTCCCCCAGTAATGTGTATTTTTTTTTCTGATTAAAAAGAATAATAATAATTAAAAAAAGGTCTTGTGTTTTATTATTACAGAAGTAATATATTTTAAAATGCAGTCTGCAATATCTCAGTGAAATAAAATACAGTACTACTTAAGTACATATATGGTGTAATATTTTCTGTGTACTGTTGAGATGTAAGATTAGTGTGTAAACTATTTCTTTAACTATTATAGTTCCTTAGATGTCTATCTATATCTTAAATAAGATTAAGAAACATTGTTAAGAAACATTGGTTATTCACTCTTTCATATTGTGCAAAAATAGGAGGAGCTTCCCAATGAATTACATCTATTTACTTTTGTACACTGAATGTGAAACATAATTTCAATGTAAATACACTTGACAACTTGTCCTTAGCAAAATTTTATGTTCCTAATCAGTGCTTGAAACTGCCAGTATAGGAAGTTACACTATGTCAACACTCCTTAGGGCATCAGGTCGGCACTCTGGCACTGTTCAGATATGAGCTGCAAGGCTGATTGGTTTTGGAAATGCACATTTTCATTTTGAGCAATTAAAGGAAATAAACAAGGTGTTTACTTCTGACATTGTATCTGACATTTGAAGTCCAAATGATTTCAAAGTATCTGTCCAGTTTTGAGAAAGCAAATAATTAGTTTTGAAGCATATAATGTGTGGGTTCTGAGGCCAAAATTGTAACATACAGATGGTTTGAAATACGACATGGACAAGTAATCAATCATATATGATATTGTAGCAGAAGCATACCACAGTAGAAAAGGAGATGGGTATTCACAGCAATCACCATTGGCAAAAGGTTCCTCAGAAGACCAAGGCTGAGTCAGACCAGTCGGCTGCAGGAGGGAGCCCAAGACTCCTCCCTGCCTGCATGGAGTGACGGGGCCCCGGTTTGGGTGAGATGCCAACGCAAGGCTGGGTATTTTGAACAAATTGAAATGTGTTATGGCAGGTTTCGTGCATAAATGAAGACAAAATGTGACAAAATAATTGTCACTGTCTCTCAAAAAAATAAAAGCGTTAATAATAATTTAGAATAGTTGTGTGCTTTTGTAAGGGCTTGTAGGAGTTTGTAGGTATGCAGGGACTATTTTGGAGCCACTTACTGAGTAGTATATTCCCTGTCTTTTGTAAATGTCAGAGCCTTGCTCTCCTAACAAGTGGAAACCATGATATCAACAAAAGGAGTACAACTGTGAGCACAAAAGGATGGGATCCATAAATCCTTCAGGCAGAGACAGTAACAAACCCAGAAGTAGCCATAAGGATTTTATACATTGATTTACATTTATAAAATATTTAAATCCTGCCAATGTTTGGAGTCTAGTTGGAAACCTGTATTACATTTATCTTGCAATTTCATTTCCTGTCAACAATAAACATTAAATGAAGAAAAATAAGAAAAAAATGTTTATGCAATGACATCATTGCATCATTGGGCATTTTCATTGCAAAAGAAAGAGGCTCATGATTGCATATCCAAGTGCAATATGAAATAGTTTCCAAATACTTACCAAAAAGCAAACTTTGTATGGATTAAGCCTGTGATAACACTGCCACAATAATAAATGCTTCCCAGTATGTATACAGGACGTATTATG